TGAAATATTGTGCAAAATGGCAGCGCACAAACAAGCTGAGCTTCCATTTCGCTGTGCCCAAAGAGAGGTGGACAGGGGGAGGGAGAGAGAGAGAGAGAGAGAGAGTGTCTGTGTCTGTGTATATATGGGTGCTAGACAGCTGTCCCAGCTATGGATCTCTCCTCTGTATACGGCCGCACACCAAACTTGAAACAATATTTTATGCTTATATGGGTAAAAATATTTATTAGTTTGTTGTTTTGCGTAGAAGTATGTGTGAAGAGTGTCTGCCTCTGTGTATGTGTGTGTGTGTGATTGTATATGTGCTGACAACGGATTTGCAGCTGCAGTTGGCGGCCACATCGCCATTTGAATTCATTTTTTATGGCGCTGCATTTACATTCTCGCGAAACTTGTAATTCTCGCTCTCTGAACTGAAGCGAGTATATGAGTTTTGTGCAAAGTCTGTGTGTGAAAGGCCAGAGATTTGAAATTGCTAATATGTCATCTCATCTGCTCAACTGCTGTGCCCTGGAGCTGCAAAGCTATTGACAGTGGCTCCACGCGAGTGTCACTCCCATCGGTGGCCCCTTCGATGAATTCATCAGCTCTTATGCATATGCAAAAGTTCATTTCATCGAAATTATGAAAAACGAGACGGAAGTTTCATTTACTGTAAATAAACATGTGCAAAATTGAAAAGCTTGATAAATCACTGAGATCGTTTTTAAGCAATAATATTTATCTTCAATAACTTTATTTAGTTGCCAATAAAATTTTTATTGAGTTAAATATCAGTTAAGTGAGAAAATTTAGAAAAAAAAAAAAAAAAANAAACATGTGCAAAATTGAAAAGCTTGATAAATCACTGAGATCGTTTTTAAGCAATAATATTTATCTTCAATAACTTTATTTAGTTGCCAATAAAAATTTTATTGAGTTAAATATCAGTTAAGTGAGAAAATATAGAAAAAAAAAAAAAAAAAAAAAAAAACAAAAAAAAAAAAACAGATATTTTGGCAATCGATACTATTGATCGTGGCATCGATAAATCATAACAGCTCTACAGAGCGCCTCTATAATTTTAGATCATCATAGCCCATTATCATATATCATAATAGATTATAATAAATCCACATAGACTTCTCAGATCATCAGAGAGCATCATAAATGTTGATCTCTGATAGGTCATAGGTCATCATAATCATAGATCACATATATCTATCCCCTTTTAGGCACGTCCAATATATGTATATAGATCCAATTCCCTTTCCACTATAGAGCTAAGCTCATCAATTTCCACATGTCAATCTGCGATGATTGATTTTTCTATTATATCGCCCTGATCAAAAAATATCCCTAAGCGAGTATTATTCAGTCGCATGTTCCCTTTTTTTTTATGGTTATTATTGCTGTGACTGCTCCTCTCTGTTCTGGTCAAGTGAGCCGCATTAAAAGCCCTAACTGAGTGTGCTTCATCTTGGCGACCTAACGGGACAGCCAGCTGTCAAAATGCTGGGAAATAAACGCTTAAATTTATTAATTGTGCTTTTAGTTTGACAAGCGGACTTAAATCTGGCCAAGGGTCTGGCGCGTCTGCCTGTTAACTGCTAATTGCAGTCGCTTAATGGCCAGCGGCTTGCCCAGCGAGCTGTGCCACTTGACACCCACGCAACAGAGAGAGAGAGAGAGAGAGAGAGAGAGAGAGAGAGAGTGAGTGAGTGAGGAAGCGAGAGCGAGTGGAAGACTGCTCTGTCAGGTGTAATGCTTGAGCAGCACGTACTTGGTCGATTCAACATTTACAACATTTAAGCTGTGCATAGTTGAAAATTCCTTTGGCCTAATTATGCCAATCAATTATTTATGACGAAAGCCACTTAGCGGAAACAATTAGAGCTTAACTCAATCAATTTCATTCAGATTTCAATTGCAAAATTAGAGACTTTTGAGAGTGATTAGAGCGCCAGATGTTATTCAATCAGCTTAACAGTTAGACAATGCATTCATATTCAACTTACATTAATTTGTTTATAATTTCTAAATTGGTAAATCATATTCAAATATTCAAGTATTTGTTATATGTATATAAGTATGTGTATAACGGAGAATGGAATTATTTTGATGCAGCCAGACTCCAGCCTATTCTCTTCTATTTAATTATACTCAGAAGGCAAAGTTAATTTGTAGGGCTTTTCTTTTCATACTCAGACTAAATATTCTAGTCTCTCGAATCAAGTCTTTTTTTTGGTGCTTCATCTTGAGCTTGATCGAACAATAATTATGGCAATGTAGAAGCGACTTTTTTTTGCTTAAGCCTCGCTGCTTATGCGTACAGTGAGTATCATTAATATTTGTTTTTTTTTTTTAATTTTTCCACACTTTTCTAATCTTTGTTAGTTATGTTGAAAATATGTAGTATCTTTTTTTTTACCTCATCGGAAAGCTTTTCTTCTTTATTTCAATTAATATTATATTTTTTAGGTTTTTTTTATTGA